GAGCCGGGTTTTCTAATGGCAGCCTGCATGGCAGATACAGGCTCACAGTCTGTGAGTGACCTATGAGTGTAGGTTACTCATATGAGTAACTACTGTTCCTGCAGCGTGACCTCATATGAATAACCTACACTCACAGCCTGCAGGCCTCATCATCGGTGCATGACTGAAACATGTTGCCAGTTTTCAGACACTTCAAGCTCTTTAAGACGAGATGATTTTAAATCTGTGGTGCAGGATTAAATGCTGAGATGATGAATCCAGGGTTGATGTTCCAGGTTTGTAATCTGTCTGTAGAGTCAGAGTGATGATGACAGGAATCAAATCAAATTAAGTTTATTTATATAGTTAATTTCAGCAACGAGGCATTTAAAGAGTTTTATATTATAAAAACACAAAGTCACAGAAAAACATCATCAATAAGTGAAACATTACATTTAGTCCAGTCTCTTTGTTACACATCAGATTATTGTGAGGTTTTGGTTTCTCTGTGTTTATTGAGTCTCTGTGTTGTCCAGCTCCCCTGTGTGTTTAAACCCAACTGTGTCTCTTGCTTCCTTGTTGTGTATATGCTACCCTAACCCTACCTGCTGTCCTGTAACTTTAAGATGTCTCTCTGCTGTTCCACCTGAACAGAATAATGAGTCATTGAGGTTCTGGGGATCTGATCTCCACCTGGAGGAGGAAATGAAATGAAGCCGTTTCATTCCAGTGTTTTGTACCTGGGGCTCATCTAAAACCTACAGGAGGTCTGGAGTTTGACTCCCTGTCTGTTGTCAGCTGTGTTTCCTGTTCCAGTTGCTATCAGCTCTGAGCCTTTAGTTTTTGGCCTGACTGTGCTCCCTGGATTTCAGATTCTGCTTAATTCTTCACTTAATCATCATTTATTCTACAAACCTGGGCTAACTACGACTACCTCAACTTTCCACAACCGAAATCCTAACAATTATTGGTAAATGTTTCTAAATCAGCTCCAACCTGCTGGTTTCAGACTGGATTTAAAGGAACTCAGTGTTTCTGCTCTTTTGCAGTTTTCTGGAAGTTTGTTCCAGATTTGTGGTGGATTGAAGCTGAAAGCTGCTTTTCCATGTTTGGCTCTGATTCTGGATGCAGAACAGAACCAGAACCAGAACCTGAGAGGTTTGAAGGTTGATCCAGCAGCAGATCTTTAATCTGGTGAGTGATTTCTAATCTAGAGTAGGATTAAAGTCTCTCAGTGAAGGACTGTAGAACTAGATGATGTAGACTCACTGGGATTCGAGACGTTGGGCTGATTGTAATAAAGCTGTCCCTGATGGATGCCGTTTAGAGATAGTTAATGTTATTTCTGACTCCTAAAAGCCAAAACTCTGAGTACAAACATCAAGTATTTCATCAGTTAATGATGTAGGAACATTAAAGAATCTCTCATTTCTTCCCCAATAAGAAGAAATATTCTCATGAACAAACAATCCATTTGTTCTTGAAAATCTTCCGTCTTTATAATCGACATTCAAAATGGCTCCTCTGCAGTTCAGATAACAAAGAATTTGTTCTTGAAGCTAATGATGAAACACTCACTTTGTCCTTCAAGGCTTTTATTATGTGTGCTGATAAAATGTCTCTGACGGTAAAGAAACTTTATCAGCAGGACTTTAGACACAGTGAACCTGATCTTTTATTTATAATAACCGTCTGGTTGCTGGGAAAGGGTTAAACCAAACCAACCTGTTATAACATATTGTTCATACAACAAGATGAAACTTGTCTGTCAGCAGGTTTGAACAGATCAAAGCTGAACTTGCAGGAATTTGCCCTGAGGACAGATTCCTGTTTTCTACCTGAACATTTGACTGAATATTTGCTTTGGAGACTCAGAGAACCTGCAGATCTCTGCAGATCTCACAGCTATTTTCAGTTCCAACCTGAAATGTCTGCTGGAAACAGATGAAGGTGAACAAGTTGCATCAACAGGATCTGGACTGTGAAACACTTTCTGTATCTGGATGCATGTGACACGTTGCTCTGTTTAAACAGTAAATACTGTCAGTGTTTGGTCAACAGTCCTGCAGATGAGAAAACCAAACAGGCCTTTGCTTCAGCAACAAAGGTTAGCATGCTGCCACTGCACCCAAAACAGAGATGCTCTGCAGGAGAACTGTTCCTGATTCTCACTCAGTGAACAAAGAAAATAATGAACTATATCTGACATCCAATCATTTGATTGGATGTCAATTCAGTCTGATCCCTCCTGGCATCTAGTTAGTACAGCTCTATGTTTGAGGAATAAAATGATATTTTAAAAGTCTTGACCTTATTACCTCACTTTCTGTACCCACTGTTTGGTGTTTCAAACTGCTGATCTAATCTAAATTTTCTTTATGGTAACATTTGTGAGTAATTCTGACATATAAGCTCTTTAAAACACCAACTTTATGTTTCTGAACGTCATGTTTTGGGAACCACAGTGTCTCATAATGAGTCTCTTCCTTTTCCACTGTCATGGAACGTGGATGGATGGATGGATGGATGGATGGATGCAGACATATCTCAGTGTTTAGTCAGTGAACAGAAAATCTGCCTAGTTACTGATGACCAGCTACCAGAATCGTCTCTGTTCTCTATAATTAAATTGTTTTTTTTCCTCGGTTCTGTTTCTCTGCTGTTTCTTTTCCTGCAGATCAGATCAGAATCACCAGAAACAGTTTATTCTGGATTCATAGCAGAGAAAAGCACAGAGAGAATCATGACACCTGATCAAACATGTCTGACTGGTTCTTTGTTTAGCTCAGGTAGCAGCAGATGAGGCGCCATGGTAGCGATCCGCCCATCATTTAAAATTCAAAGTATGAGGATCAGATTACAGATTAAACTGATCTCCTGCTCAGAGCAGGAAATGCATGAAGGACAGAAAAATACAGTTTGACAGAAAGTTTGAGTCAGAATTAAAACCTTCAGTCCTCAGAAATGATTCAGACAGAAAGAATAATAATAGGAAATAAATGCACAGCATAAAAAGCCCCATGTTATTCTGAGTCGGGGGTTTTCCCAGCATGCAGCGGGGCCTTTCTTTATAATGCCATATATGGACTTGTTTTTGTTTGAAACACTTCCTTATTCTCACTGAAGCAGGAAGAGGAAGTTACAAAGAACAACAACAAATCCATCCAGAAACCTGATCTGCTGTAAAAACACTGAAACACGGTGAAGAAAAACCAGGAGCAGATAAAACCAGAGTTTACACATTTTACTTTTCTGTTCTGTGGCTCCAGACAGACTCAGGTTCCAGAGTCTCATCATGACAAACAGGAAGAGCTGCAGGCTGAGTAAAACCTGCTGATGATTCACTTTAAAGAGAGAAAAGAAACAGCTTCAGTTCACAGTTTGTTTCTCTCGGTTCTGATCCGTTAGAGAAACAGGTTCAGTTTTAATCTGCTAAGAAAAGTGATCAATTGACTCTTTCACTGTAGAAGCAGCAGCAGCAGTCACATGTTGGTCTGGTAATTTTCCACCCGCCAGTGGGAGGAGGAGGCTGTTGACATTCGAGTTACAGGAACAGGATGAGGCGTTTCTGAGAAACGAAAGCTATCTTTACTGAAGCCTGTTTCCTCATTTTAACTGCTAACATTACTGAAGTTATTCAAAGAATAAAAATAGTTCACAAAAACCTTGTTGAACTCATTAAGACCAAACATATTTAAATCTGAGCTGAAATGATATTTCAGGTTCTGCAAACTGTCTGCAGTCAAAATGAAGACAAGATGATTTAGAGAATAATATTTGATGTGATAAACTGGTGAATTATTTCATGTAGGGAGACTTAGGAATCTGTTTCTAAAACCCAGTTGTTCTTGTGATTCTTCCATCTCAGTCTAACATTCAAAATGGCTCCTCTGTAACTCAGACTGTTACTGTTTAACCCACAGACTCTGTTCCTCAGAATATCTGTTATCTTTCTGACCATTAAAAGTTCAAACTTTATCAGCAGAAGCTTCATCTTTACTTTCTGTTCTTATAATAAACTCCAGTTTCTTGGAAAAGGAGGAGGCTGTTAATCAACTTCAGCTGCCAAACATGACTGGACTGGAATCTGATTATCTTAAAGTCTTTACATTCATTCCTGTTAGACATGATAAAACTTGCACAACCTTTACTCCTCACTCACACACACACACACACATGCACACGCACGCACACACACACACACTTGCAAAGCAACACATTAACTCCTGCACTATAATCCTTATAATTTACTGCTGACTGGGAGTGAACTACACATAATATTGACTGATGAACTCAAATAAAAACTTTGGTGTTTTGACAACATTCAGCATTTAGCTGGGCTCTGACACACAGGCTGTCAGCAACAACATGATTCATTGCATGCATGTGTAAATTTGACCTGTTGTGTCATCACCTGATGTCACCAACCACAGGACTGCAGACTAAAATGTGAACAGAGACACAACTCATTTCACTAAATGAGATTATTTCATTTCTTGTCATTAATTCCAATCATGCAAACTTAGAGAATAAAAACACAAAAAGATCACTGATGACCATCATTAGTGATCTTGTTTGTTCCTGTTGGTAAGGAAATAAATTTATACTTATTAACAACTAGCTCAGCTTCTCATTTTGCTTTTATTAAATGTCACAATAAACTGAGACCAGAACACTAAAATATAATCATAAATGAGAAACACAGAAACAGATGTGTTAACAGAAGAGAGATTTAAAATCAGACGCTTCTTAAAACGTATTATTTAGGGATGTACCCAGGTCAATATTACAGTAATAAGTTGTTAATCAGTTGATGTAATTTGTTGAAATATTGTGATTAATAAGTTTCAGCCCACAGATTGAAACAGGAACCCAACCCTTCCTCAGTAACCCTCCCCATTTTCCGGGCTTGGGACCGGCATTAGCAATGTTTGGTCTTGTGTCCGTCTAATGGCTGGATTACACTGATGTAAGCAGGGCAAAGCAGAAGAACAAGATCTGCTGATGTTTACAGCTGCTAGTCAGGGCTGAAGAGTCTCTACAGTTTCATCCTGGGGAGGAGAAACATTTCTCTTCTTCCAGACAAACACAGCCAGAGGAGCCAGAACAGCAACCACAGCAAACATCACCAGAACCGGTACAATGTGTCCTCGACCTGCAGAACAGAACCAGGAATTAGTCTGATCCCACTGAAGATCATCATCAGTTGACCTGAAATCCAGAACCAGGAGGCTGCTGGTTCTGATCCAGAGACAAACACTCACCTGGAGGAGCAGCAGGAGGAGCAGCAGGAGGAGCAGCAGGAGGAGCAGCAGCTACACTCAGCTTGATGGTGATGGTGGTTTTTTCTGAAGCGGCTCTCTTGCTGCGTGTGTTGCTTCTTATTTCAGTCTGAACACGGCATTCATATTCTCCACTGTCTTTCTCTGTCACATTGGTTATAGTCACATTGACGTTTCTATCAGTGATGTAATGGCTGAGGAGTTCTGTTCGGCCCAAGTACTGAGCGTTCTGGAGATTTACATCAATCTGTTCATCCCTGTAGAGAAACACACATTCTGGTTCCAGGTCGTTTCTGGTCAGGTCTACAACTGAGACTTTGCTGTTCCTGTCAGCTTCACATGGCAGATTAACGTTCTCTCCTGGTTCTGCTTTGATGTTTACAGGATCTGTAAAAATAAACCAAAACAAAATGATCCAGAGTTCAGATCTTTACTTTAACAATACAGCAAAACAAAGACTAAAAGTCTTCATGTCTAAAATAGATCTGTCTATACGGCACATTATTTGTACTTTTATTCAGACGTAACTTAGACCAATTAATGTCATGCAGTTCATGTTCTATCAGCTTTCAGCATCATCAACCCTAAACATCCTAGCAGCTCCTCCACCTGCCAGTGGGTCATCAGCTTCCTCAGTGCCTGACAGCAGGTGAGGATGAGCAGCGTCTCCTCCTCCCAGTAGCCGTCAGCACCAGGCGGGTCCAGTGCTGCGTTCAGGCCCCGCTCCTCCGTACATTAATGCCTGCCTGTCAGGGACCCGTCTGAGGCTCCACCTCAGAGACCAGCTTCTGTCAGACGGATCGTCTTCCAGCCTGAGGGTCAGGGGGAAACTCAACAAGAGTTTCACACCAAACCTTCTACTTCCTGTTTGCAAATACATGGAGCTACTTCTCCTTTAATGCTTTATTCAGTCTACAGTTTATATATTTATGCTTTTTACAGATTAAACTAAAGTTAAATTCCCAGTTTGTGTTTATGAGCAAATCTATTGTGATTCTCATGTTCTGTATTGTTGGTTCATAAATGTAAAGTTTCTTCTGCAGACACTAACTTGGGATTGTATGCATAGTCTGAATATGAAAATAATTTAAAGTCACAGTCAGATAAATTTTTTGGTGTTGATTATATCTTCGTATGGTTTGTATTTATCTAATTATGTCAAAACATACAAGACAGCAAAACATTTTAAAGTGAAACAGCAGAATAACAACAAGAATAAAGCAAAACTATCAGAGCAGAAACAGAAACTTGTTTCTCATGATCTGGCAAACGGCCACTAAGAACAGCGATCTGATCCCAACTGCCTCAACCTTCAGATCATCTCCTGATCACATTTTAATCAGGTTGTCAAGATATAAACAAGAAAAACAGTTTGAAATAATCCAAGTTGATGCAGCTTCATATTAAAACATATTCATATTAAATATTAAAAACCACTGGAGCTTTTTCTACAGCTTCTTAATGAATCAAGTTGAATCATCCTGACTGGTTTCAGTGCTGCTCTGATGAAAACATTTTATCTGCTCACCTCCACAGAGACACAGATCCATGAAACTCAGAGCGAAGCAGAGAAAGACGAAGATCTTCATGGTTTCTCAGTAAGATCCTCAGTTCAGCCTGATGTTAAGCTGCCTGCTGCCACTGCTGTTGATCTGAAGCTGCCTGTGGTCTGATAGTTCTGACTGTTTCTCTGCACTGAGGCACACCCAGGCAAAGCATTTTGACGCAACAAGCTTTTCGTTGGCTGAGGAGAAATAGAGATATACGTACTGAGCTCCTCTCAGATTAAGCCACGCCCACATTCCTCCTGTAGAATGAACTGGTTCTTTACTGGTTTAGGATCAACGCTGCAGTTTGAAACAGTTTCTGCTTCAGCGTCTCTGAGCTGATTAAATGCTGATCAGATCCGTTCAGCTTCTCTGATCAGTGAAGTTAAAACCCAGAATCAATAAACTGCCTTATCATTTCTGCTGTGATTTTGGCTTCAGGATATGACGAGATATCTTGCAGACATTTGTACATTTTTACTTTAGCAGCTTGAATTCACAGCATTTTTAAGAGAACATCTCTAAAGCTTTTAGATATTAAATCCATATTAAACTTACCGTCCAGAAAAATAGTTACCCACTGGTTCTAAAATATGACAATAAAAATACAAAAAAATTATTAATAATAAAAAAATATTTAAAATTACATAAAAAATTACATATTAATTATGTTAAGTGAAAACTTTTGGAAAAATAGAATAACTTTGGCTATAAAATATAATCAGATATTGTTGAAATATTGTGTTTTTATATATTTTGATGCAATATTTGGAACACTAAAGGTCAAGGTATTTATTTATTTATAAACTTAATGCTAATTTTGTAATCTGCTTACACGCACACGCTGCAGCTTACATAACCATGTTTATCTGTGTCTGCCATCAGTCATGCATAAACAGACTGAACTTGATTAGACCCTTCAGGGAGGAAACAGACTGCAGAAGATGAAAGATAAACTCTTTGCCCTCTTGGTTCCATCCATCAGGAGCTCAGTGGGCCGGCGCTGAACGATGAATGTAACTCTGGTTCTGATCCATTTGGATGGCGTGTGGCTTGTAACATATGATCATTTTTTGGCATTAAAGCCTGTTTTATTTAACCAAATCTAATTATTTCTCAAGGTAATTTACACTCAGGGGTTCTGGTCGGGTCCAACTGGTTAATGGACCTGGTGTAGCTCAGAGGGGAAAATGGATGAACTGCAATATATCCAAAAGGAAAACTTAGAAAACTTCAAATAAAATATTAATGTACATGGAAAGGTCATAAAAAACTTTTAGTACAAACTGACTAATCAATATATTTAATCAATTTCAATCAATCAAGTTTATCTGTGTAGCACATTTCAGCAACAAGGCAATTCAAAGGGCTTTACATCAGTGTTTCTCAAACTTTTTCATCCCATTTAACCCATTTAACAAATGATCAAAAGAGTTAATGGCCTGATCTGGTTAAACATCTTCATATAAAATTCAACCTGAAGTGAAAATTTCACATCTGGTTGTTTTCTCTGTTCATCCTAATGAGAAGAGTGGTAAATGGTAAATGTGACGATAAAACCACCAACACGTCTATCTGGGCATTTTGAATTATTTACAGATTCTGAAAGTGTTGAAACTTTCTAATGATGTCAAACACATGGAGATAAAACTTGTTCTTTACTGCCAAGTGTTATGTGCATTAATGTCATGAAGGGCTATTTGTTATGTTCCGGGGTTCTTGTTATGTTTCTTCTTAGTTTCTTTGTGGAGTTTTGCTGCGTGTTCTTGCTTTTCTCCACCACTAGATGGCGCCAGATCCATTCCGTCGGAGGGCGTGGATGACGTCACCTGCACACCTGATGCGAGTTTAGCTCGTCAGCGGGATGTTCAAGAGGAGCTGACTGCCAGTAACGGCACCTCTGAGCCCCTAGAGCTTGTCTCTGTGTTCTTGATCTGGTCCTAGTGATTGTTTCCTTGTTGCTTCTCCTACCTTCAGGTGATCCTCCTGACGCCCTGGATCCACTCTATGCTGATCCTTCCTGGCTTTTTCATCAAGCTTTTCCTCGTGACGCCATGGAACGTATCCACTTGTTGCCCGAGTTCCCAGACTCACCTTCTCCATGTGGCAGCAACTTCCTCCAGTCGCACCGCTCCTCTGTACCCACTGATCCTGAGCCTACCTGTCCACTCTTTGATGTACTTCCCCGTTGCCTCCTGGATTCCCGCTGACAACACACCGACCACCTGGAACCATGGAGAGACTGAGACCTCGGACATTGCAGTTACCCTCTTACACCTCAAACCTACTGATCACAAGTAAGATGTGTCCGTTTCACTCACTACATTGTCATTTCCCACGACCCTGAACTCACCACCTTACTCTACTTCTCTAGTGAGCCGTTTGTTCCCTGAACCTCCCTCCCTCCCTGGACCTGACCTGAGCCTCCATAACCAAACCAGCAGTGTTCCAATAAACTTATTTTATTATGCAAGTTTACAGTTTTCTTTCATAAATATAAAAGTTCAAACTTTCATATTTATCTCCTGTGTTGTGTTCTGCATGTGGGTTTGAATACACATCCATCATGACACTATTTGTGATTTAGAAAAATAAACTTGAGCAGAAAAAACAAATGAAATATGAAAATAATCCACCCATTCCTACCAGTTGTATTTAATTAATTTACTGATTAAATGAAATAAAAACAGTCATTGCAGATGTGTAAGCAGAGCATCATTCATTAACAAAAACAGAGCAGTTCACACTAACTGAGTAGAGTCCGACTGCATGGAGCCGTTCAAAAGGAATCCAGTCGCTAGTGAACGACACATCAACACTCAGCAGCCAAAACTCTCTTTCCTCTGATCATATAATATTCCTGGAGTTTTCTTTCCTCCAGCACCTGCAGCTTTTCCTTCATTTTAAGTGGCTCAGTTTCTTTTGTCCTTTAGTAGCAGATCTTCACTTGGCCTCCTGCCAAATGAAGATTGTAGCTTTAAAGATGAACAGTGAAGTTTATTGGGAGTAAACCCTGAGTTTCACCGTGACAGCAAACATGCAAACATGTAAGCTATGAACCAAACTCTTACAACCGTTTGAAAACTAAAAATAATGTTCACCACTAAAAATATCGACTGACTGAAAAAAACTATACCATATTAATATACTGAAAAAAATTAAAATTAATATCCTAAGTATGTTAAATTTTAACATACTTTAGCATACTTAAGTCAGATTAATATTTCAAGATCTCTTAGGATTAGTTAACTTAAAGTGACATTTTGGAACAACTAATTTTGTGCTTAATAGTATTTAAATTGTATTAAAGCACAATTTAAAGAGCACTAAATGTTAAAAGTCCGTCCGTTCGTGTAGCACTACATTACCCATGATGCATCTGTTCATTTTGTAGTTCCAATTTCACTGAGCTCAGCAAGTCGTTTTCTGTGCTTCTGTGGCATAAAAATATCATCCACCATCAATCCTCCTTTAATACCGTGTTTATAAAACCTGCGTTCGTTTTATCATGCAAGTTTACAGTTTTCTTTCATTTCTGACATTTGTGTTTATGTCAGTTATTATCCAGGAGGTGAATGTTCCTCGTGTTTCTATGGCTACCAATAATCCAAGAGTTTATTTATAACAACTGAAGTTATTATATATTGTTGTTATAGTATTATATGAGGTTATTTACCGTTAATTCATATTTTCTGATGGTTTCGTCATTTGTATGTTTATTGCGTTTGACCGATAATTAATGTGTGGTGTTATGCTGCCCTCCAGTGGATGTCTGTGATACTACAGGCCATTTTCATCCTGTATCTGTTTAGCCGTTTTCCCCCGCATGGCTATCAGTATGCACCTTTATTGTTTCTTCTGTTTCAGATAACCTCACACACATACATCCTAAAAAAACATATAAGCACTTTGTTATTATCTCCAACTCACCATCTGTACCATCATCTCACATGTACCTGCTATTAGTCCATCAATAAACCTTCTAAGCTGCGTCAGTGGAGTTGATCTATTCCTTCTGACTGAGGAAGATTCAGTTGAGGAAAAATCTGAATTAGTACATATTAGATGCTCACAGTCTTCTACACTAAATGTACTTCAATGTACATTTTTTTGGACAACTTAAGTTAAACTTAGTATACTTTAAGTATTTTTGCTTTATGTAATATAAACATGCTTGATTAGTATATTTTTAGTGTACTATTTTTGTGATTGAATTACATTTAAAATATGCTTAGAATGTGTTAGAATAATTATGTTTTGTTATCATTCTTACATTGGTAGTTATAATAGATTTAGTATTCACATCCCTGAGAAAAGCTTTCATACTTGTTAGACCTTGAAGCTGCAGCCATTTGTATCTTCGGGATACTCCTATCTGCCTCCCTCCACATTCCTTTTCTACTTTCTACTTTGTAATAAAAGAGAAGCCCGAACAAAGGGTCTTCAGAGCGCTCAGTGAACGGCTTGAAGCAGCAGTTTGCTGGTTCTCTCCTTTTGCAAAAGCTTTCATAAAATTCACTTGCGTTGTCTGTTTGTTCTTCTATTTAGATCACATGTGTCAAACTCACGGCCCGCGGGCCAGACGTGGCCCGCCATGTCATTTTATGTGGCCCGCGAGAGCTTAAAAGTTTTGAGTATCTAAAAATAAATACCAAAAAATAAATTAAGAGTGTGCTTTGACCAAAAACTAAATTTCCCACAATGTCTTTCTACCTCGGTAGGCAGTGTTCCCACATCCATGCCAACAAGTGGAATTGAGATATAAATAATGATCCCAAAATGTCCAGAAAGAGAAAAGTTGATGCAGACGGAAGACTGTTTCAAGAAAGATGGGAAGGCGAATACTTGTTTGTGCTTCAAGGAGAAAGAGCAGTATGTGTTTTGTGTCGGTTGTCAAAGAGTACAATCTGCGTCGACATTTTGACACCAAACACGGAGCTAAGTAGGCTAAAGCTAGCCTTCAAGAAAAGCAACAAATTGCCCAAGAATTAAAAGGCAAACTGCGGTCGCAGCAGTTTGTTCATGAAATCCACAGCCAAAAATGAGGCCACTAGCAGTGAAAGTTAGCTTCATTGTGGCTGAAGAAATCGCCCACGCTTCCAAGTCTTTTTCAGAGGGAGCGTTTTT